CCATGAAGGCACTGCTGCCTATGGGACAGCCCTGAGGGGCTGCGGTCTGTGGGTGACCCGCAGCAAGACGTGGACATCCCTGAAAGAGTATGGTCTGCGGGTCACCCATGCCGGGGCAGGGACACTAAGGAGCAGAGCTGTAGGAAAAGCAGTGAGAAACAAAGTGCATCTGGAAAACCAGTAAGCAAAGTGCAGAAGGCTGCTATGCGTATACCACCTACACTGCCCGGCAACTCACTGCCGGGATTTGGACTGACTGACAGCAACCAGCAGCAAAAACAAGGAAGGTTCAGACTGGGAAGGAGGGAGAATAGAAGTTCTTACTTCTTTGTGTAATTGTGTTTCTCTTAATACCCAGTCAGTGGTCAGAAGTCTGTGTTGGTGGCAATAAATTAAGTAAAATTCCCCAACTGGAGACTGTTTTGCTTGTAAAACCCTCAGCCAGAGAAAAAAACTCATTGCTTCTTGCAAAACCGAAAAAAGGATTCCTGGAAGGTGTTTGGAAGAGAAAACCAAATTATCTTCTAAAGATAATAGAGTTTAAGAGCAACTACTGAAACCAAAGGATAGGAAACCTTCTCTGTTTTAATTTGAAACCTTCTAAGTTCTCCTTAGATCTTCGGTAAGGATACCTTACCTTCAGCTGATAAACCTGAAAGAAAAATTATGCATGAGGAAATAGTGTCTTTTTCTCCCAAGCATAGCTAAGAAAATAAAATTAGATTTATTTGTCATAGTAAAGCAGAGCAGGAAAGCAAAGCAGCACAGCTGGGGCTGTTACACCAGAGTTTTACAGTGGCAACCAAAATGCTCCCTAAACCAGTGTCCCCACAGTGTTCCCAGCTTTTCTCCTGCATCAATTATAGCTTAAAGGAATAGTGCTGCTTGCTGATATTTCTTATCTGCCTAACACCTAAAACTTCTTAACTTGCTAGAAAACCGGTGTAATAATACAAGGGGATCCAAACTGAACAACACAGATAACTTCTGGTTGCCAGCTCCAAATATGTAGCCACCCTCGAGAACATTGAGAGACTTATCCTGGGGTCAAGCAACTCCTTTTAGTGCTATCTGACAGCTAGGCTGGGGGGTAAGGTTGCCTTTGTGCATTTTACTTTTTCAGTTTAAAGAGTCATTTTGTTTCTACGGTTGAATATTTTTGGCCTGTCTTGTGAGCCTCTCAGGGTTTCTTGTTTTAGCCTTTCATAAAAATACAGCTGTGATGTCCCCCACCGACCATTTAAAATTGTTAAGCAAGAAGACAAGGAATTCTGTTTCCAGTGACTCAGCTTTGCTTTTTCCAGAACAAGCTAGTGTAGCTGCCCGGTTGTGCTAAAATTCTGAGTTATTTTCAGACGTTGTTGCAAAGGAGAAGGTACAAGCTTTTCAAAGCAGGTTTTCCAGCACGTCAAGAAAATATATTGGGAAGTCAGTGGCTATATCAGTGCTGCTAACCTGTTTGCAAGAGATACAGGCGTGGATATAGACAGGACTACAATTTGATTCTGAAAAACTTGGCTCAAAGAAGTAATGCTTACTTAAAGGTGTAGCCTTGTATTGCTAAGAGCATGATTTCCCTACTTACTAACTATACAGAAGAGTAAAGGTTTACAGAGGTAACATGTTGGAAGAAGTCGGGCCTACATGTGCTAATAGAAAGCATTTTATTTTTGTAAAGAGAAACAAATTTTTTTATTAAATAAAATTACTCAGGTTAAAGCTATATGTCAGATAGTGTGGGAAAAGTAGGTCCTTAATACCTGCTGGATTATGGACTGCTTCCTTTGAGTGCAATAGCTTATGCATAAGGTTGTCATCAGCATTGTAAAGGGCATATGCCCAGAGTGGCACTTACTGTAGATCCTACGCTCTGGGACAGCATGCATTGATTTTGGTAACTAGCAGCTGGCATTTTAAAACTTGTTATTCTTCACATAGAAGATGAAGAAAAATGCTGAGAGCTTGAGCATACAAGAAAGATCTTAATAATCTAGAAAAGGTATGTCCTTGGGGGTCAGAGAGATTCTTTTCATACATTCGATGTTTGTGTATGGTCTTAGATAAAAGAGAATAGTTTCACACTAATTCACATGGATCCAGAATCTCATAGGGACCTCATTTGTACTGTTTACTCAGCCTTGTCTCACTAAACTGTAAAGATACACTAGTAGAAAGAGTAATTGGTTCCTTCAAAATAAGAAAAACATTATTGAATTTTTAAATTCCGATTGTAAGAGTCACAAAAACATGAATGCATGCTGTGCCAGATAGGCACTGCCACTACCTACTACTAAATGCACACTTTTCTTTCTGTTTAGAGGAAGAGCAAACAGTGACTTCCAAACTACCTGGCTGAGGTAATCTTTGGCATAGTACTACTTTTGCAAATCACTGACTATGACTTGCAGCACAGTGATACGACTTTGGCTTGTGCTCACAATTCTACATTAATTTCTCTTCCCACAAAGAAACCAATGACAAAAAGGGTATTTTGATCTTTTATTACTTGCACTCAGGGAGAAATGATTGTATTTCACTCATACGTACTGATTTTCATCAGTAGATCTTAAAGCACTTTAAAATGGTCTCAGTTCTATTTGGGAGATGAGGAAACAGAGGCACAGAAGCAAGGATGTGTTCAGTAGACCAGTAGCCAAAGCAGGAATAGAGACCAGGGGTTCCCAGCTTAAGGATTTTGTGTACTTGTCATTTGCAGGCACTCCTTAACACCTACTTAATAACAGTAGTTACTAAACTATTCAATTGGCAGTCATGTGGCTTGCTACTTTTTGTTCCCTCCTAAATAACACTGTTTTTATATGATCTATTTCTTCATAACACAGGCAAAGAAGTTAAATCTTTCACATTTAAAATCCCATAAAAATTAGTTCTTTTGTCTCCAAATTCCACTACTGCGTTAGTACTGGTCTCATCTGAAAAAGAAGCTGGTTCTTCTGCTTGGGCTAGGAAATTCTGTAGCTTCTTATAATCCTCACATGCAGTACAGGAGTTAAACACTCCCCTTCCAACCCTGTTGTGTTTAAACCCTTAAAACTGTGTGACAGAACGCTGATTGACAACGCAGTTGGTTATAACGTGTTAACGGCAGTGTTACATCCTGCTGTGGGACTCCCTTCACAGCCCTGACTTCCTGTCCATCCTTTGGGTTGCAGTCACTTCTTATTTTGTTTTAAATGAACATGTGGAAGGGTTTCTGTGATTTCTGGAAGGAGTTCATGTAATAGATCATACACACTTGGACTAAGGTGCACAAAAAGCCAGAAAGCTTGGATTATGGGGAATAAAGGAAGAAAGGAGAATGAGCCTCTCAGTTGAGATTGTGGCGCAGTTGATGTCCTTGCTGCCCAAAAGAGTATTTGGCACACAGCTACATGCTCCTAGCAGTAATCTCCCCAATGTATTGGAGGTTTCTGCCCTCTACTGGCCTCCCTGAAGATTAGCCACAGCTCAGCTATGGGAGCCTGAGATTACATCTCAGCCGAGTCATTGCAGACAGTGGCCAAGAGACTGGCCATATTTATAAAGCAAATCCTTTAGATCACGCTGTTTCAGGAAGTGTAGGAATGACAGCGTCTGACAGGGATCTAAATCTCAAGTGACACTTGCTACTGACTTCTGAAATGCTTTTCAGATGTCGGTCTACTTCTCACCTTGCTCCACACTAGAAGGATTAGTATGAAGCATCTCCACATACCACTGCAGTCCCCATCTGTTTTCTTGCAGTGAGTGAATACAAGGAAGAAGAAACAAGATAATAAAAGTCCTTTTTGTTGTGGTGATTTTCATTCCACTATAAAATTTTTTGCTTGCTTAGCATAATGAATTTTTTAAACCAAAGACTTCAAAGTGTAATTTTGGGTTAATTTAGAACAGCAACTGCTACATGACTTAGGCACCATGATATTTGGGAACCACTCCACGCTACTAACAATGCTTCTGTTTTCTCTGGGTGCAAAGCATCATTTTAAACCTTCATTCTGTGGACATTTTTTATTATCTAATTGGTAGAAAGCTAATTTTCTAATAAAAGCATAACTTTGAAAAACTCATTAGACCTGTCGGTAAAATATGTAAATTTTAATATTCTTCACCACCAAAACCGCTTTACAGTGAAATCTGAAAACATTTCCCACTCAGTCCTGCAATACTTAGTCATGCATGGGAGCATGTTTTAACCAAAGTTTCTGCAAAGCAACAGGACTGTTCATTGAGCGTTGAGTACAGCACATGGATGAAGCTTTGCAGGATGCAGTTTTAACAGCTCATGTATCCACCCTCTCACCCTAGAAATAGTACTCTTCTGTACTCCCTATTTTGTATTTACTCATGCTTTATTAAAATCCATCTTCTATAAATTAACAGAAGGAAAAAAGTATTCATAAAGAAAGGATCTGTCTGCTGCCATGGCATTTTGTCCAAGTCAAATTTTTTTTATCGCTGCCCATTGATATCTAATGCTACTCTACAACAGCCTGTCATAGTTTGGGGTAATTTTATCTATTCCTGTTTGAGTGTACTGCATAATTGCAGAGTCTTTTCAAAAGCACCTTGGCTCAGGTCTAGAAACATCCCTTTTCTAAGAACAAGTGAAGACTCTTACATCTGTAGAAGCCAGAGAGTTCAGCACAAATGGATTAGAGTATAAGATGAAAGACTGATCTGCTTGGCATACTATACATTTTGTTTTTTCTCAGGCTTTAGAGATCTCTCTATTATACAGTAATATGCATCTTTAAAAGACCGTATGGAAAAGTGTCATACAAAAGTAGCTGCCTGCAAGTGGATTTTTTAATAGGACCCTGGTTGTAGAGCGCTAAGTAAAAAGTTCATAAATTCATCTGCTTGATGTATAGAAGAAATGAATAAATGTTGCTTTTCTTAAAGGAGAATAAACTACTTGAGTATCTTTAGTATTACGTTGTTGATAGTGTGATATAAATGGTAAATTATGATGAACAAGTTAGGGGTTCAGAACAATACTAGAGCAGAGATTTTATTAGAGATTAATTTCCCAAAATTCACACAGACTGAATTGCTTCTGCTTCACATTACAGTGTAAACAGATCTCAGAAACTGCTGAAGAAGCCAGGCAACCCAGCAGATGTTTGCAGTGTCAGGGTAGCCTTTTTTTCTACATGAGGCATCAATGCTTGTCAACTGGAGTAAAGGTTGTAGAGACACAGGATGAGATTCAGCACGTAAAACCTATTTTCCATCAAACTACTCAGGTTAAATCTCTCCCTTCTAACAGCAGGATTGATGTATCACTTGCCAACACCTTCATTCCTGCTCTCAAGCTAAATAATGCCATTTTTATTATGTCTTTTTGGTACTCTTGAACTGCATCTGCAGTTGTTAAGTTAATAATCCAGTCAACAGTTTTCCATTCACAGTTACGTTTTACCAATATTCACTGTTTCACAGGCATTTCATCACTCTTAGTCTGTTGATTATAGCAACCTATTTGTTCCAAAAAGCTATGTTACCCCTTCATGTCTAGTAGTCACCAGTATAAATTTACTGAGGATACAAAGGTATACTCCCTTTACTCAAGAGAAATTTCTCACGTTCTTCTCCCTTCAAACGTGAGTAGAAGAATGGAAGCTCAGTTCAGGACAGTGTGCCTGTTTATTACAGTCTCACTCAATATGGGTTTCTTCCATCTCGTGAGCTTACATCTCTCTCTTACTTTAACCTTAGCCTTTCATTTAATTGGCTAGGTGAGAGAGTAGACAGGATATGCACAGGAGACCCAGGTCAGGCTTTGAATCAGCACTAGTAGCTAGAGTTGCACATATACAGCATCACAGAGAGGCAGAAAACACTTGTTTATGTTCAACACTGCCCTAACACAGCTGTTCTGCTTCTACACTGGTATAGCCACACAGTATTACATAGAGAGAATCAACCAGGTTAGGTTTCCACAAGCTTAGTGACCCCTCCATAGCACAGTGTAGGCATGTCCCCTGTTCTTCAGGCCCTATCACTCATTGCTGGCAAAGCATACTCGAGGCAGCTACGTGAAAACAACAGATTCACCTCAGTTTTTTTTCCATCAAGACCACCAGGTCTCTCCTGACCCATACCAGTAAATTCACACCCAACACTACCCCAGAATTTAAAAGAGAGAAAGAGAGAGAGCGCGCGCGCACGCACGAGTGTGCACGCATTTAATACGAGCTTTGTGTAGTCGGTTTTTTTCAAGACCTTCCAAAAAACTGACAAGACTGGTCTCCATGCGTGCCTATGCTCAGAAGCAAAACTTTCATTCTGCAGCCAAACCATAATTCCACATGATGTAGTGGGACCAAAGGAAACATCTACTCCAGCCAAAGACCTGCCTCAGTGTATGAGCAGTAGCTCTTCCACATCTCTACCACAGAAAAGTAAAGTATTTTCCACAACACTATCAGAAGGAAATAAATACAAGATTATGAGAAGTCCTTTCTCTGCAATAAGTCACAGAACTGATTGTTATTTTAAAGTACTAAACAAATCTGAGAAAAATGCTCTCCAAATATGCTTGGATTACAATGAAGCAGGTAGCCCAAAACGTAAAACAATATATATTTATTTAACACAAGAAACTCCATGTTTAAACAGACGCATGTGTGTTTTTTCTTGTAGTTCTTTAGGGCACTTGCTTTTTTAAAAAGTAAAGAACCATCATGAGTAATACTAAGACATACTAGCTACCTGGCAGAACAACTGTCTTATTCTACAACTCTAGACCTGATAGCAGATTATAAGCTTTAAGGCAAATTACAAACTCCTTCAAGTGATTAATCCCTAACACAGTTCCACTAACTCCAGTGGAATGTTCACAAAGAAAAGTTTACAAGACTAGGACATTATAAATGTCTGCAATGATTCCTGTAGTTACAGGCAACATAACAGAGTGGTGTGAGCATACTCCCACGCAGAAAGAAACACTGCCGGAACATTCACAGTAAGATGCCAAAAAGACTTACTGACAGAGAAAAGAATATGACCATTACATATATGATTACATGGCATAATAAATCACAATTCCCATTTCGGAGAAAAAAGGTAAGTCATTATACAATGCTCACGATCAGGACATTAGGACTTTAAAGCCTGCAACTTTCATTTAGAGATAAATACTTGGTAAATAAATGCTGATAGCTAACAACAGACAGCACAGAAATACTACTTGAAATCTGGTTCCACAAGTGACATACTTAATCATTGGATACAGAAAAATATTCAAAATAACACTAGCAGACATTTTCCATAGGTGAAGATTCTCAATCTCAGAGTCTCCTTTGCTGCAGCTTCACAGCCTGGAAGTGATTCACATCAAAGATGTGCTGCAACTAGTTCAGTCTTCCCTCCTGCAGTTATCACCTGTATTAGACTCCCTGAGTTTGGTCGGTTCTTTCCTGTTATCCAGTCATAAAAAGTTCTGTTTCAAAACAAATAAAAAGGGATGAGAAGGAGAAAAAACAAATAGCAACTATTAGGCGTATTGACAGGAGGCATAAAATGAAAGCTTCTCCTACTTCCTCCTACATCAACTTCCATCCATGTCCCAAACCTGCAATGAGATGACTAGATTCAGACCTTTATTGCTAGGTGGAGACCTAAACAAGTCAGGAGGGCTTTACAGCACCCAGAGAGAATTTTCAGAACACCTCAAAGGAAAATTGCAGAAACTTAAAAAGTCTAAGTGGTAGCTATGTAAGTCATCTTTATCATATACATCAGGAATGCAAACGTATGGCTAAAATAGAGTTTTTAAACATAATTATTTTTCCCCCAATACCTTTGTTCTCTGTTCCCATTTTTCCCCCCCTTTGAACCTAGCCAAGTTCCCTTTCTTTCCATGTCATTCCTTCTTAACCCAGTCTTCCTTATTTTTTCTCCTCGTTCTTCCACCTGCGCTCTGCCAACAGATATTCAATATTGAACTGTGAATGTCGTCTTGATAGAAACACAGAAGGCCCTAAGTCATCCTATGTAGCAGGCCAGAACACTCCTAATGCCTAACTCATGCATGATGTATAACAATACAATCCACCAATCACAGAATAGTTGGGGTTGGAAGGGAACTCTGGAGATCATCTGGTGCAACCTCTCTATTCCAGCAGGGTCAGCTGAAGCATGTTGCCCAAGACCACATCCAGACAGGTTTTGAATATCTCCAAGGATGGAGACTCCACAACCTCTCTGGGCAACTTCTTCCAGTATTCATCCACCCTCACAGTAAAAGTGTTTTCTTGTATTCAAGTGGCATCGCCTGTGTTTCAATTTGTGCCCATGCCTCTTGTCCTGCCACTGGGGACCAAGGCGCAGAATATTTTTCAGGTCCATCAGCCTTTCCAATAGTGCAGATAGTGCAACTGCCATTTTAAAAGGTCATGCAAACTGATATCATGGTTTCCAGGGCACAACAGATTTCAGAATGCAAGTGCCGTATTAGAAGAGAGTTCCTGCATCCTTCTGAAGAGAAGGAAAATGATGTTACTGATACCAACTCTAACATTATTAGATGTTTTTCTGCCAGCATTAATGAGAATTTCAGTTTTCAAAACTGGATTTTAAGTTCAAGGAATTAGGAACTAAGGCACAAAAGAATGAACCTAACTCTCCTATAAAGAAAAGACACTGTAAAATTTAAAATTACAAATAAATTTATAAAACCACGACATCTGGCTGAGTAGTCTGTGGAGCACAATAGGAACATTGTTTGAATATTTTTGGGTCAACTAAATTAAACCGATGGAGCCCTTTTAAAGAGCCACATCAGACAGCTGCATAGGCTTCTCACAGGAAAATAAATTTCTCAATCTGACATCCAACTTCAGAAAAGCCACAAAGCAGGAAATCGGATGTCAAAACTAAACTACTCTCATAACAATGGCAATAGGTAAATGCAATTTCAGCATCAGTTCTAGAAGCCTTCAAATTTGCAAAAATAAAAAGTTTATGCCCTTTACAGTGTATGAGAATAGAGCCATTTTTGCTTTTCTCCAAAAAGAAGCAAAAACATTGTGTCCATATTTTCCTCTTTTTGACGGATCACCCTCAGCAGGATCATTCAAAGACCCGCTCTACACCACATCACAAAAGGCAGCACTATGCTTCACCTTCTCTACCTTTAAATGAGAGGAATTAGAAGTAATAAGCTTTTAAATCCAAGTCGGCTGTTAAATAACTTACAGCTCAAGTTTCAGCATTTTGCAACATCGTTCAGGACAAACCTTTTTGGATATGGGATAAAAATTCTGGACTAAATTTTTCTTAAAAGGACACAGCAGGAATGAGAAGTGAATTAACACACTATAAACTGAGCAGTAAAGCAGTTGAAGAAAAGAAGAAAAAAAGGTTAAAGAAAAAAAAATTCACATGCCTCTCTGCAGTTTACCTTTAAACCAGACTACTGATGCCTACATCTGCTGTCTGCAATATCATTTGTCTACAGGCTTTACGAGATTCTCCTTTGTCGAAATAACTGGTGTAAGAGACACTAAAACCGATGGAGTTGTTCTAATATTCACCAGTTAAGGAGCTTGTGCAATAAATTTAATCCGATTTAAAGGCACACAGAATGAGGGGATGATGAGAAAAAATACCCAAATCCCATACAGCCATTTAAAAAGGACAGGTAAAAAGATGCAACAGCAAAACAGACAGTGAGGAGCTGCTTAGTCATCGCACATATACTCACTCAGCAATGAACTCTAAGGATGTCCAGGAGCTGAAATCTGCGTCAGGCATCGATTTCCTGTTCGCTGGCGTATCCAAGGTAACCCTGTGATTAAAGCGATAAACCTTTATTTATACATCATGTTTCTAATGAAAGTCACCTGCTTCTTTTCGCTGCTGTAACACCTGCTTGACTTTTATAGCATGTGGCATGGATTTCTTTTGCATCCTCTACACATTTAACAGTATATAACCATCACTTTCAGTGCATATCAAAGGTTCCCAGGCTATAACCCCTTAGCTGTCTAACCCACTGACAACATCCATCCCACTAGGGCGATTCACCTAGCCTACAGCTCCCTTCCAGTCTGTCTGCTTAACAGCCTCTCCGATGCAGACAGGGAACAGCAGTAATATGCTTGTTCACATGTATCACAGAGGACATATGCACTACACATAGGCTTTCAAGTAGCCTCAGAACACTTGCAAATGCAGAGATGTAAGCACCCAAGTATAGGAAGTTTTGACTTTGTGAGTACATATTTATCCTACATACAATGATATTAAAGAGCAAAAGTCTCAGAACTGCTTCAGATCTGTTGAAGCAGATGCTGTTGAATATCCGAGGTGTAATTATTCTCTCAGAAGTCCACTCAAAAACAGAGTTTTGCTCTGTGCAAGTCCAGAGCAGCGCAAAGACCACCGATCACGGTGTCTGCATGTCAGCAAAACTCTGCAGAAAAAGGTGTTAATTATTCAAACACTCTTAATGCTGTTGATCTTTCACTTAAAGAAGTGCGTGTAGGAGTGCATGTAAGAGGAAAACATGCAGTCAGAATTCAGGTACTGTTCTGAACCCCTTTTCAGAACTCTTCAGTCTTAATTTTCGGGCCCTGTACTTGACATGGACCTGGCAAGAAAAATACTTTAATTCTTGCAGCAGAATCACCAGATTTAGACATTAAGATCTACCAGCTTGCCTCAAAGCATCAGAAGGAAAACTGTGACAGCGAACAACAAACTATAATTTCTTCTCATGGTCTTCAAAGTGACCTAATATTACTGATCAAGCAAATTGATATGCAACGTTTTGCAAAGAAGCATCTTTACCCAAGTATAATCGAGCAAGTAATCCTTTGCTTTACTGTTACCACACAGCTAAATCTGAATAGCTGTGCTGAACAGCTCATCTCACTTTTACAGTTTTGACTAGCTTGAAAAAAAATGAGCGTGTTAATACATGGTTATGGTTAAACTGGTTAAAAGTGAATTGGGTTTTAATACTAACATCCTATACTGCTCTGCAAAGTAAAGAAAAATATCAACCCATTTTTATCATTTTTAAGGTAACCTGCACATCATTGCGTTCATACACCCAAGATAGTTCCTTTCTCTGTCAAAAGCTATAAGCAGGTCTAATAAGCTGTTTGTGCACTGTGGATGGAACATTACAAACATGTTCAAGCGACTCTAGGTTACAGCAGTAATTAAATGAAACAATGCAGCAGCAGAGGTAACCATGCAACCACTTACGGTAAAACAGCAACAGCAGCAGAACCAGATGGCAAGCCGCTATTGGCACCAGCTAAACTCTGACAAAGCTGGTGCACTGCTCCTTTGGCCATTCCGTAGCCAATCATTCCTAACAATTAAAAACAGGCAAATTAGAGCATAATCAAAACAGCTCTCAATATCAACAGTAACATGATAGAAATGCATGTTATTTGATGAAAAGTAGGTTTAACACCCCTCACCACAGCCTGAAAACAGAATCAGATTTTTAAAGCACAGCAAGACGTACATATTGAAAGGAGGAGGAGGGAAAAAAAAAAAAAAGGAAGAAAACTTAATAGACACCCAGGAGGTATCACAGTACTCAGTTTACTTACTATTACAGAAATAAGCTTACCAAATTAAATACGTTTAACTGCGCTTCAAAATACACCCTGAAGGATGGGACTGACAGGGCTAACTTTACAGAACTAATGCAGTAAGTGTGAAGAGGCTCATGAGGTTTAATAAGGCAACCATCTGTTAGTTTTACATATATGACTAAGATATTTGCTGCTTTGGACCTAAACAGGTAGAGCTCATGCCTCATGAGAACTGTAATTCACCAATACCCTAATTCAATACCCTAATTCTAAGACAGGCACTTTGCAGAAAAGTTTAAGAAATCTTATCGTAGAAAATTGCTAAATAATCTGCACGTAAAGCCAATTTTTTCCTAACTACTATTGCTTACTAGCTAGCCAGTGTTTAGCAGCATAAGAACTGTAGAAATAAGAGCAAAAGGGAACCATGGCACATTGGCCAAGTACAAGATCCAGATGGGCAGGGTGCTATAGGTCTGAGCTGTCGCATGCATTTATCTGCCAAGTAGTCTAGACACAGATTGACCACATAAGAAAAACAAATGCATTTTTTCCTACTGTAACTGGATGCATTTCTACTCATCTATATAACTACATAAGCCCTTTTTATGCTCCCGAGGAAATATTTTATAAGAAAGGCAAAAATGTAATTTTGCTTTGAAGTGTTTCCATTATAATTAAACATACTGTATAACATTCCTTTTTTATTAGGCAAAAGCACAGGCAGAGGAGACTAACTTATTTTCTGGTTACTATAAAAATATATGTATCTTTATCATGTCCCCCTCTTATCTTTTCTCTAAACTAGTTTAAGGCATCTTAAATCATGTAATGCTTCTGCATTTCTTTGCCATCATGGTCAGACTGTCTCTGTATCTATTATATAGCTTTTCCAGTTTTCTTCAGTTTGCATTAGGTGAGCCTTACTTGGTCAACATTTTTACACAGGAAAAGAAAAATCGCAATAATGGCAAACAAGAAAAAGATGATTCCTTCCATAATGGCTGGGAAAAATAAAAATGTGGACAGAAAAAAAAAAAAAAAAAAAGCCATATTTGCAAAAGTTGAGTAACAATTCTTTCCCAAGTCTTCCTGATGTTAATAAGTTCCATGTGTTTGCCTAAAGCACTATGGTGTTTAAAAAAAAAAAAAAAGACTTATTGACTTATTGAAACCAGTCCGTTCAAAACATGAAAGCAAATCACTTTGATCCCTGTGTTGTTGCCCCTGCCTCCCAAAAAACACCAAAAGAGCTATAAAAAAGTTGAGTAACAATTCTTTCCCAAGTCTTCCTGATGTTAATAAGTTCCATGTGTTTGCCTAAAGCACTATGGTGTTTAAAAAAAAAAAAAAAGACTTATTGACTTATTGAAACCAGTCCGTTCAAAACATGAAAGCAAATCACTTTGATCCCTGTGTTGTTGCCCCTGCCTCCCAAAAAACACCAAAAGAGCTATAAGAGTTTGCTAGAGGTTCACATGTTTTCATTTGTGCATGGTCAGTCAGTAGTACACAGTAAATTATTCATCTGCTTATTCTCATAAAATAAGCCTTTTATCTTCAAACTATGTCAGATACAGCTGTAAACATGTCAGTATAGAAGACAAATCATTAACTAGAAAATATAGCATACTTTCCTGAACACAGTACAAAGCTCTAAGAACTGAAAGGTTTTAGACACAGCTGTTGTAAACAAATTTATGAATATTCCCATCTCATCAAAATATTGGCAAAGTCATACTAATAATAAAATATGTCTTTGAGACCTTCTCCTTCATTACTAATGGCTATCGGGGGGTGGGGTTTTTTTTGTTGTTTTTTGGGTTTTTTTTTAAAATTGCTCCCAGATTTCTTCCTCCATGCAGAGCAACACAAAGAGTGAGATGAAAAATCTCTATGAAGTTGGGATTGGAGCTAGTGGAGGGCAAAGCTGAAGGTCAACAAGCTTATCTATGTCTGAAGCAGAGGTGAACTGGAATCAGATCGTGAACAGGATGAACATATTTAATCGAATCAGCGGAGTCATCACTTATGGGAAAATTGGGCAATTAAGGACTCTGCCCCTCACAAAAGCAAACAGAAGATTTAACTTCATCTAAGCACTGCACTTAGAGCTTTCAGTGTGCTTCTATTCTTCCTTAGTTTCCAAATATTTTCCACTGTATCAGCCAAGTACCTTTCACCAGTGCATATCAACTGGCATTCAAATACATTTTTTTTTGTTTGCACTCTAGCTTCAACAGATTTGGTATCGCCATCTGTAAAACTGTACTTTACCTAAGGGCAAGTACAATTTGCCATTTGTATAGCATGTCAAGAAATTGGGGAGTTAAACTGTTGCTCCACAAACAAGAATGTGCATAGACTAATGTAGCAATCACTGCTGATGTCCCAGCAGTTATGATACATTGCATTTTACCTGGGGTTCCAGATAACGCAGCTTGTGCTCCTGTCAAAGTCAAGATGCCTCCTTCTTTCAGATGCTTTGTGGCTAGGTGACTGGAAATAGTGGATGTCCAAACACTCTGTTTCCACATCAAATCACAGTTTTTGTATAATGCTGATTAAGAAGAAAATTAGCAAAAGTAACTGTAAGGTAGAAGTTCTCTAACTCTAATTTCCTTTCTATCACACTGAGTGCAATACTACTATGAAAACATGTTTTCTACCATTTTCTGCTTCCACTTCAGGTAAAATATAATTTCATGCATTTCACATCTTCCTTCTCTTTGGGCTCTGAGTCCTTGCCCTGCAGCATATATTTTCAATAATTACTTGTCTTCTCACTACCAGAAATTAAAAAAAAAAAAAAAACACAAAGTTCCATAGTTCCATTAGCTCACCATTAATGCTTGCATTCAGTTCAAAGATTTTCACATTCTACAAACTCGTATAAGGATTGCTTCAATTTATGTCAAGGACCTCAAAATTCTCAAGTCAGCCTTTTCTTTCCTTGTAGCAGCATGACTTTTTTATTTCTTTCCATAGCTTCCCCACTGGCTGCTAGAGGGTTAGACAGAACTGTTCCCCATTAGTATGGGAATGGAAGCCCCAAGGGATAAGAAATACTTTTGTTCAACTCTTAATAAGAGATACAATCTGTCTGACAATGGTACTGTATAAAATTGAAGATGTATTAACCTGCACTAAGTGTGCACTTCCAGTGCCTCTATATACTGGAGCACAACCTCTAGTAAGACAGATCATTAAAAAAAAAAAAAAAAGAGTAAATTCAAATGAGAGTAGAATTTGAATGGTCATTTGTCTGAGTGTCAAATATTGTTTTTTATTATTGATATTCATAGAGGAAAGAGGAAAAGCAATGCTTAGGCACGTCAAAGGTTTTAGTATCAAGTAGCAACACTTCCATAACACAATATGGAATAAGTACAAGCATCTAACTCTGTAACATGAAGCAGACAAGCTGACCACCTGATCCAAAGATACCCTGCTATCCTACCAATAACATTACTATAAATTACTGTTATGATAAATTACCTTATTCAAAATAGTCTGCATATGAATAACACTCCACTATAATGCAACTACCCAAACACTCACCACTGTGTGTCTGTCTTCCCATATTGTCTCCCTAAAAACAAATGCCTGAATTTGGAGGGGGAAGGAAAAGGACACCTTTTATTAGATTTACTCCAGATGGAAAGCGAGACTATGCTTTTGTGTCTCTTCATTAGTGGTAAGGTATAAAATACCATTCTGAATATTATGCATTTAAAAACTTTGATAAACTTAAGACTTTTTTCTTTTCCTTCTGACACAATCTCGGGCCATTACACAGCTCCTGTCAATACTGTGTTGTGCAGTAACAGCTCACAGAACTGCAGGATGCTACTGAGGTCTTATGGATAAAGTAGGGAATCAGGAAACAGAACACCGATGTTCTACCCAGCCTCTGTCTCAGGTAACTTGCCTGTCATAGATAACCTTTGCAAAAGTTAATTCATAGATAATAAACTCCTTTATAAAGTGCTTCAAGACCAACTGATGAAAAACAGGTCATCCAAAAGTATTACTGGGAATGCCAAGCGCTCTGCAAACGTAATAAACTGTTGTAATTCTCAGAAGCACGAAGAAGCACTGTGATTGAGCTGCTTTGTACTATCAGGCTCATGTCCTCTTCTATGCTCAGAAAGATAGATCATTACCATGATTTTTAAGGATTCCTCTCAGATTTCATTCATGCGTTTACTAGCATGCACGCACCAAAGGCTTACATTTAGCTTTGGCGCTGCCTCCAGCCCATCCTCCTGCTACACACAAGATTGCATCCACCTTTTCTTCACCAAGAAGTTTTCCAACCTCTGCTGTCACCTTCAATATAGAGAACAAAAACATTCTGAAAACATGGGATTGATAAAGGATTAAATATCAAGAGTTGTGTTTTTTTTCCAAGTTACATAGTTAACAACGTACAGCAATTTAAAGAGCTGCAGAAAATTAACATTTACGATCTACCAATCCAAAACAAAACGATAGTGTTAAAAAATAACTACAGTTGAATGTCTGAACATACAGTGAGAGATGACAGCGGAAATAATTGATTGGAACAGTATTGAAGGATCTGACCCTTACTATGCCATAAACAAAAAAAATTTACTTGTGACTTACTTTCAGCAGAGTACCCAGAGAAGAACCTGTCAATTTAAGAAGGTTGGAAATGAAATTCCAAATCTGACCAGAACTATGACACTTTTGATGATGGCGAGAGAAAACAACAACTAAAGAACAGCCTCCTATTGATGACGCTTCTATCTAGAAGGCAACAATCAGTGATTGAGTCACACGGACATCCAGTATCTTTTTCCTGTTCCAAATAAGAGACTTCACAGTTGGTAATGAATTTTCTCTGTCACAGTAAAGAAAAGTAAACAATCCATCTCTCCCAAAGGAAAAAAAAAACCCACTGGCTTTCATAAAGGTTCTACAATGAAAAATACATCGTAAACATTCTAGATTACACTTCACAAGCTTGAAGAGTTGTGTGGGCACAAACCGAATCACTGGCCAAAACGTTTCCTTTATCAATAACGGGAACAAGTTCAAAAGTTAAGAAAATAATAATTTCATATGCTGAGAATAAAGCAAAACGATATTCAGGCTTTGATTTTGCCACTTTTACCATTGTGGAAAATGTTCACAAGGAATCCCATTAAGGTCTGAAGTGCTCACGGAGTAATACACACAAAAGACTTAAGAGTTAAGACGTTAGAAAGAAGTGTTGTGGCTTAAGATGCCCTAATTCGTCTTGATCATACAAATCTGGCTCAGCCCGTGACACTTTTCAGGTAACCAAGAGAGAAGTAGCAGAGAACCGTACTTTAAAACCTGACCCTTAGCATGAAAACATGAGGTAACCTCTAGGCTTCCAAATGAACCTATTTTGTGGATAAGCATACACGTGCGGTTAGGAGGAAGCTGCAGAAAGCCAGAAGCAGCTGGCAAGCGTAAGGAGCTCCGGGCGCCGCAACAGCCAAGCGGCCGGCGGCTCCTGCACC